GTGTGCCGGTGGAGGCTTTTGGGTTCCCAGATTTTCAAAGAAAAATGTTAACCCATTTGCCGTGCTCGATTTTTCAAAAAACTCTTAACCCATTAAACCTGGGCCATCCACTTTGCTGGGGGTCGGCGGCTGCCAGGCGCTAGCCTGGTTAAATAGATTTTCAGTGTAGCAAGTCATCAGCAATATATGAGAGCTTGCATGGTGTTTGACAGCTAAGGACGGTTGAACATGTTCCAAGGTCAATTCGGACGGGACAAAAGGGCGTTGAATCGTGAACGTTTGAACTATGTTTCACAAGATGAAACAAGGAAATCAAAATGATAACACTATGATTTGTCATGCCAACGTGTTGTTGCTGGCTATGATGCGAGCCGTAACCTGATCTCTCTTTCAAATGCCTTTGTACTAAAATGCACTGGTTAGCGTGATGAGTTGCGTCACTTAGGTGGGACAAGTGGCTTCATCGATGCACAAGGCTCCTTCAGCAGCACCAAACCTGTTGCGAAGCACCCCTACACCCAGTCTGCCGAACTCTCAGAAACTCTTCTTCGTGCCACCACAACTGAATCAAAGCTCGGCCCCGCACCTGATCATATCATTCTCTCCGCATCGGTGGGGGTCCTCTATCTCCAGTGCCGGGCCTGGCGCAATTCAACCGCCCTTTGCACGATCCCCGGCACGTGCCGATTCCAAATCAGGACCCCACGGCGGCATCCAGTGTTGGCACACAGCCGCCACAAATCTGCCCTGTCACAGAGTTGCCCACAATCGAAAATAATCAGAAGAAAACTCGGGATAAGGCCAAGGCCATGCTGCGACCTGACTGTCGCAGCCAATGATTTTTTGCGCCCACATGAAAGTTTGGCGTTGATCAACTCAGGCAGGGGCAATGATCAGTTGGCTGAACACGACCACCGCCTGTAAGGACCACACAGGCCTGCCATTCATAGCCGCATGTCTTTCCAGGACACAAATACGCAAACATCCGGCCTAAATGGGCACGCAAGAACGCCAATGCCAGTCATGGACAATGAAAGTTGATTTGTGCTTGAAGTTTAAAGCATTTTTTGGTCGAAACTTACTGCATGTGTGGTTCTGCATGTTGCTTTCCGGCTGCATTCATCATGGCCTGCGTACTGTTTCCTGCACCATGGTTATGTAAATGGCACGAAGCGCTGGCCTATGCATGTAGTGGCAATAGAAATACGAATTTTTACGCCTACAATGTTCATCCATGGCACTGGCCAGGTTGTGTCTCCATGCGCTTGCTGGTTGGCCATGGCCTGCCTACCATATCCTGTGCCATGAACTTGTAAATGGCACACAGCGGCGGCTTACCCATGCAACGGCCATAGACACACGAATTGGACATGATGTGGTCACTGCAACAGGCATTTAGCCTACAGTGCTCGCCAGTGGCATTGGCCAAGTCCCCATGCGCTCGCTGATTGCCCACGGCCTGCCGACTATATCCAGTGAGCTTGTACATGGCACAAGGTGGTGGCCTACGCATGTAATGGTCGCTGCCGACTGCATTTATCCTAGGGTGGCATTATGTGGCATTGGCCAAGTCTACAGGGTGTTGATCAAAACAAAGGTATCTGAGGCAGCTACAATCGCCGATCAACCGCGAATCAATCGCGATCCCAACGGTGTCAATCGCGGGAGAGTGCTCTCGTATGCAACACTATTGTACGCAGAGAATCGTCGAAACATTGCTACATATCACAGTAGTTAGAGACATGGCATGAGCCAGGGCCTACTCAGGCGGGTTTAACAATCGCGGCACAATCGCGGATCAATCGCGAACCAATCGCGGATTTCGTCGACATTTTTTGAAGAATTGAATTGATCTGGGCTTGTAGACTTTGAACTTTGTTGTTCTGATTCTTCTTTGCTATTGGCTATCACTATTGAACACAGTGTCTAGGCAGACCTGAATACAGTGTAAGGCTGAACTGCTACATGATGTGGTCGATTCTGATACAACAAATGTTTGTCTATCGCGAACCAATCGCCGATCAACCGCGATGCACGGTTTTACAATCGCAGATGCTGAGATACACATGCCCTTTAATAATTTTTAGGTTTGCATTTACGATCGGTGCACGGCAGTGTGCCTCCATGCACTCGCTGACCAAGGCCTACTTACTGTATCTTGCGGGCGCGCAAGTGACACAAAGCGGCGGCCCGCGCATGTGGCGGCCATAGAAAAACAAAATGTTGCCACAGGCATTTAGCCTACACTGTTCGTCCGCGGCACTCACTAACGAAATTTTGAACAGCCAGGTGTGTCTGCACGCGCTCGCTGCTGGTCCACCGGGTGCTTCCCACTGTTTCCCCTGTTTGTGCCGACAGTGGCGCCAGCCTTGCACAGGACGATCGTTCAGGAATTATAGGGTTCCTTCAAACGGCTTCGCCAACCCCAAAGAGGAGGCGGCTAAACCCGGGCAGGTGCACGAGCGCCAAAGAATGCGCGAGCAAAACATGCATACCCCTTAGCCAGATCAACGAGCCATCAAGGAGGTTGGATTCAAGAAGCGTCGATGCCGCTGGCGGATGATGTGGAGACAGTCACCCTTCAGCGGCCTCCGGCCGACCCAAGACCCGGCACCACTTCTGAGGTGAGGGCGGGGGCCAGGGCGATGTCACAATGCCAGGTTTCCTGCAAAAGGAGGGAAGCACCATGGACCACCAGGACAACGGGAGCGTTCCAGGACTTGAGCCCGGCGTGCGGGGGCCCCGCATGGTTCGTGTCACACTTCCTAAAGCTTGCCAAGTGTCATACCAAATGTTCGAAAACAATTGAGCTGCGCGCTCTTGGCAGCTACCCTCATGTGGTTTGACTTGCTACGGGTCTGTGAAGGTCGTGAGGGACAGGCCCTCTGGCGCAAAAGCCGTGGCCACCCGTGTGGGCACCTTTCCACGGAAAACATGTCCTGCTCCACTTTTTCCGTTTGTCTATCCTGCTGCGTGGTCACATACCTGCCCTACTTCTTTCTTCTATTGTAGTTTGCGCCTTGGGACCTACAAGTTCCACATGCATTTTGTGGACAGTGATTTGTCTGGGAATGCGTGTTCCAACTCCTTCATAAAGTGCAAGCATGCCTCTGCCTCGTCACAACTTTCCTAAAGTTGGTGTTCGTAAACCTGACCGGTTGTCGTCACCTCCGAAACCGAGGTCTCTTTATTCCTCGTGCCTTTTGCCGGTGCAGCTCTTCCACGGCATGTTTGCATTCCGGCGGGCCAAGCGGGCCAAGCGCAAAAGAAAACTTGAGGCCGGGGTTGGTGACGAAAGCTAACAAGAGGAGGGTGAAGCGGGTGACAGTCGGCCCACTATGCCAGCGGACATGCACACGTCCTAGGACGTCCCAGGGAGGAGTTGAACCCACAGGGGGGGCCGTCGTACATATGAAGTTTTCACGCGATGCGGCACTCTCGGATCATTCCAGCCCCTCACTTGCTAAAGCAAGAACAACGCTCTCGTGATTGCGCAATGTTTTTGCGCACAATGGTCGCACGGCCCGTTCGTCACTGTCAAAATCGTGCTTTCACTTGCACGCCTTCCCCCAACCCTGCCCAGCTCATACGGAGCAGTCGTTCACGACGCGCAATTCCCCAAAGACCTGCCGGCTGTAAAGTTATAAAGCTGCACAAATCGAGAAGTATACCAATGAAAGCGGTTGGCTGGCCGTTTTCGCATCGAGCGTGGCGGAAAGGGCGGCCCGCTGCGCGATCATAAAGTGGGTCAGGAACGCTGAAAAAAGAACAGAATCTGAGCCTCCCACGCGTTCCACATCAGGAGATGGCAAAATGGCATGGTGGATGCCATGACGAAGCTGACATCCTAGCTTGTGAACAAAAAGAAGGCAACTATGACACTTCGATCGCTGTCGAAGCCCTCAACCGATAGACCTGGCTGACTGAATCACAATGATTGAACCAATCAGGACACACTTGAGTGTCATGTGAGAAAAGTGCAAATGGTACACAAACTATGTGAGTTCGAGGCCGTTCCAGGCGACAAACACCATT